TAATTAATTAATTTTAATTTATTTATTTATTTTTGGCAGAACCAGGGATTGAACTCAGGTCCTTGTGCTTGCCAGGGAAGCACTTATTCTACTGAGCCATCTCCCCGGCTCCAAATAATTTTAATTTATGTATTTGGTAAAGAATCTCACTAAGCAGCTTGGACTTGAAGTGATCCTTGTGTTTTTAGCCTCCCCCGCGCTGGGATTACAGGCGTGCACCACCATGCCTGGACTTGTGGCTGGCTGAGCATGCCCAGGGGTGGAGCCGGCACTGCATGGCATGCGGGACCAGGGTTGAAACCCTGGGCCCTGCGCTTGTAGTCTGAGCTGTCTTGCTGGCCCTTTTATTTACTTGTCAATAAGCTTCCAGGTGCTACTTAGTCTTTTTTTTTTTTTTTTCTTTTGTAGGAGGAATCAAACTGAGGGCCTTGTGCTTGCCAGGCAGGCCATGACACTGAGCTATGTCCCCAGCCCTATTTAGACTTTTGAACATACAAATTACAGTTAAATTAGTTTCCTCAAAGTCTTTTCCTGCTAATTCTCACCTACGTGTTTGCTAGGATGGCCGCTGATTCTTTTCTTCATTATGAGCCATGCCTTTCTGTCCCTTTACATTCCTGTTACCCTTGGGTCCCAGACATTATATTTCTATCAATCGTCTCGACCTTTGTTCCATGATGCAGGTGAGTGGGCAGAAAGCGGTGTGTTCTTCGGCAGCGTCATGAGCCGGGAGGGCCTGGAGCTGCGCAGGGTAGGACCCCTGACTCCAGCTCGGGAGGCCGGACCCTGCTGAGGTCTGACCCGGGGCGCAGGTCTGCTGTGTTCCAGGCTGAGGGGAGTAGGCACTGTCTTGGGCCAGCGTGTGTAAGCCTGTGTCCCTGTTGCTGTAATGCTTTGGGAGCCTCTCGCCCTCCAGCCTCCGTGCTTTCCTAGCGCACGTGCGCTATGCGCCTCCGTTTCTTTCAGCTCAGCGCCCTCCTGCTGTGGCTCCTTCTGTCGTTCTCTGCCTAGCATTAGGCTCTGGCTGCGCCCTGGCTCCCTGCCTGTGCCGCATGATCTGTGCCCTCCCCAGGTGGCTGTCCCAACATCTCTGAGTCTGTTGTTTTGTTTGGTTTGGCTTTTTTAGGCAGGGGGATAAATTTATTACTGTTTTTCGTATAATATCCATTTTTTAAAAAATGTATTTAGTACAGGGCCTACAGGGTCTCA